ATTATTAAAAGTGAGTGTTAATAATTATTTTATATGGTACACTGTGTTTTTCGATATATTTAAGTCCCTGAATATTCACAAATTAAATGTTAAAATACTTCCTGACATGTGATTGAATGGGCAAATTAAAGGAAATAAATGATTTGGAAATGGGTATAATACAAACTAAATTGGAATACAAGATTTACTTGATTTTTTTCTCAATTATGCTAAATTACTCAACTGAATTACTCAAATATTTGGTTTCAGATTCATTCAAGCTTACAATTACTACATTTATAAAATTATTATATTTCTTTATGTAAGTCATTTTGCATTCGATTTCCCTAGATTCTCTTAGATTTCATCTAGAAATCTAATAGTGCAATGTAATCGGTGCTAAATTAATAAAAGAAAATTTGATTCTATAATCACCCTGATAAAGAGAGGTTCTAAGCCATTTGGAGCAGTGGTTGGACGAACTCTTCTCCTTCTCCATGTTTCAGGTCTATTTTCCCTTGTGATTTTTCCATTAGGGGGAGGAAGTGGAGGAGGAATAGGCATCATGTAACGGTTAATCTTTGGAAATCGATATCGATTCATTCCCTGTGAATTGTCCATGGAGTTCCTGAACTTCATCATTGCCTTCTTGCCCTGTAATCACATTTCATGACATAAGAACAAGTGAAGTAGAAGTGGTGACCCAACATAACCCAAAATTAAAGACAAGACTGTATGATTGACATTGTGTGCAAACACAACTGATATCAATAGGCAAACTTAAAACACTTCAATCTGTTGAAAAATGGCATTTTGTAGTACCCATAGCAAATTAAATTTTCATGGATTTCTAACCTTATTTAAGTTTTTAAATTTTTTAAACCAAACATACAGTGATGGCATTTTTATAGTATTTGGGGGATTTTCCCTCAACAATCCATTAAATCTATGGGGACCCAGTACAATTAAACAATTTAAAATCAAGAAGTTCGAAGTGTTATACTTTGAGATAGGATTGGATAGTTCACTTAACGATAGGGTATTTGCACATTTTTTACACTGATTTCACCCACCCAGGTGTTATAACATTCCTTGATAATATGGTTTCAAGGAACCAAAACCCCAGACTCTGACCCAAAGTCTCTATTCAGCTTATTTTCTCCTAGAAATTCAACTTGTGGGAATAAATTTCACCCAGATAACTACACAAGTACACTTATGTAAATGTGTATAAGGATACACACAGACACACACATGCACACACACATATGTCTAAAAAATTTAGTTGATCAGTTTGGGATTGACATGCCCGTGCTGCTATATTTAAAATAAAATGCCTTTCCATGAAAAAAGAAAAGAAAAAGAAAAAAAAGTTTAGTGGAACCACCAAGTCCATCAGTAGGAGGATATTTGACTAAATTTTGCTTTGTTCTGATAATAGATTCTCATCAGGCTTTAAAAAGAATAGTGTTAATCTATTTGTCCAGAGTCCTGACATAAAAAGGTCCATGCAGTGTGATCTTACATTTCTTTTAAATAATTTATATGTGGATTTTGATAAAATCAGGGATGACTGGAAGACTCGGAACACAGGGTTGCCTTTGTGGATTTGAATCATTGTGGGGTGGTGAGGGCATATAAGTTTAGTCAACATGTATTACCTTAATGATTAAAAGCACCTAATGTATAAACAAAAACTTTATGTTTCAGGTATATTTGAGCCTCTGAACTTTCACATATTGATAATTTTTGTATATCTGAGGTAGTTTCCCAAACTTTAAAGTATCTTTAATCATTTTTATCCTTTTTTTACCAATTTATTTGGTATTGCTTTAAATTCATTTTCAGCCAATTTATTCTTTATTTTGAGATGCTTAAATTGTGAAAAGTTATTTTTACAAAAGGAAAGTCATTCCCCAAACATTCTCATTGCTGAATAAACAAAAGCAGGTTAAAGAAAGGCATGTATACGCCATATTTTGATTGAAAACAACATTTATGTGAACAGAAAGGGATTTAAATAGATATTCACCAAGGGGTTTAGAATTGTTAGAATGTTTGACGTTGCAGGTATTATTTATGCTCTCATTTTTCTTTTCTTACATTTTCCAATTTTTCTGTGATGGTGTGCATTGACATCGTAATAACAAATATAAATTAAAGAAGTGAAAACAAGATAATAAAACAATAAAATCAATGAATCCAGGACTTTTTGGGCCTGGGGGTTATCTTTTAATTTCTAAGTAGTTATCAATCAATGGCATACCTTATTTGGAAATGGTTTAGTAAATTTTAAAAATTAACCTTCTGCTCCTTACCTTGTTTTTTCTTAGCCCAAAGCATCTTGGACATCTTCCCATGCCAGTATAAATAATTTACCTTATTTTTTAATATACTTTAATATGCCATAACATTTTTAAACAATAAATTCTTAGGTGTCTTCCAAATGTTCACTATTGCAAGTATTACAATACTAAATATTCCTGAATCTGTTTCTTTCCACATGCATGTGTGTTCCTAGGATAAATTTCAATATGCTAAAATGCTTGAGCATGTTCATTTAAAATGTTGATAGATATTCCCATATTGCCTTCACAAATAGTTGTACCAATTTCTACTCCTATCAAGAGTGTATAAGAAACTCTCATTCTAAGGATAATCATTTTCAATCACACCATTAATTTTACTCAGTAGCATCTCAGCCAGTCTGTTTTGACCAAATTGCTTTTGCCTAAATCAAAGCTCCTCACCCCTGATACTTAGAAAATTCAACCTGCTTAAGTCTGTTGCACCTTCAAACAATTCCCCCATGCATATCTTTTACTCTTTTAGTGGGTGCTTACTACATACTCAGCAATCATGCAGACTATTATTCTTTAGGAATTTCTTGTCTGATTTTATATTAAGTAATTTTCAACATCAGTGCCATTGAAAGAATTGCATGTCCTTCCTGGCAGTATATTTTGCCTATGTACATCACAGTATAAGCTGCAAAAAGTTAGAGAAGTTTGTCTGCTTTGATGGTTGATATATCACCAATGCCTAGAGCAGGACCCAGTCCATAGTAAGTGCCCAATAAATTCCACTGGATGAAAAATGTAAGTTTAGCTAGTTGAAATTAACATGGAATTGATCTCAATCTTGTCGGCATGTGTAAGCTACCATTAAGTGCAATCCCTCACTCACTCACACCCCAAAACTTGGAAATGGTAAAATAAAAGGCCCTGTGCAGATTTAATTAATAAATCTACCCAGTGGCTCAGAGCAGGTTTGGAAAATCACCTAAAAGAAAAATCGTTCGCTAGTCAGAAAAAATTAAATATTACCTGATTGATAGTGTTCACATATCTAACATAAAGATGGGTCCGATCAAGAAGAGTTAATAGATATAGGAACTTAGAAAAGAATAAAATCACCTTGGCAAATGTGGAAAGTGCCCATCTGAGTACTAACTAAGGGACAGGAAATCCCACCCATTGGGCTTTGAATATTTCCGGTCCTAAAGGCAAAGTTATCCCTGGAGGATATAGAGGGCTTTAGCCAAAGACCTTTGAGCTTTCTGGTACCTTTGCCAAGCCCATTCCTAAGAGGAGACAGATGCATCAAGCTAAGATGACCTGATGCCATTAACATTCCATGCTACCATATTCCCTCATTCTGATTCCATACTCACCAGGCAACCTTCTCATTGTGATCTGGCTTCCCATGTAGGTCTGCCTATAAGGGGAAAATGTACTGCTCCTACAAGCTTTGATTTAATTGTTATCTGATGAATTAATGGTCCCTAATTATGATCTGATTCCCTATTTTGATTTACTATAGTGAGAAAAAATGGGCTTGTCATGTGTTATTTTAGTTAGCTTGAGACAATCTCTTGGGATCTGACTATTCCTGGACACTAGCTTGAAATGGGAAATCTCTGGACATTTAAAGTGGAGACCAGATCCAAGAAAGTGTCAACCTAATTGGCTTATGACCCAATAAGTTCCCGCCTAGCTCTAAGCAGTCGTCCCAGACAAAATGCCACCACTTTTGGTTTAATTTCTCCTTCTTTCCAAGAAACTACTATTAAGTTAAGTAAGGTTTGTGAAAAATGCTTCACAAGGTGAAAAGCATATTAAATGGATTTAAATATTATTTATCATTTTAGGGTTATTTTTGTACTTTTAATGTGAAAAACAATAATTTATCTGTCTGAATTAATTTCTCAGTGTCAAGGTCATCTGTCAGCTTTAGATAAAAATATCTTAATTTCATATGTCATATGTTTCCTAATAATTAATGGAGCTAAATTCACCCATTTGAGCATAATTACAATTGTACTCATAACACAGATTCTATCTTAAGCTGGCAAATGTTTCTTCTTGGTCTTAAAAATGCAAACAATACCTTCCCTAATTACTAAATGTCCCAATTATCCTTCCCTTTTAAGTAACTCATATTTTATGGCTACCATACCTCCTTCCTGTGCTCTATTAAAATAAGTGAAAATTACCTGAGATATAACCTTGAAAAGGAAGCATAGTCAAGCTTCTGTGTGTGATTAATTCAGGATTTTTTTAAAGATGGACATTCTTTTCCTTCTATATCCACCCTTCTCCAGAGTCAAACTTGAAGCAATTTCATACACTGATGGTAAAGTAAGTCGGCATGCAAATGCAAACCTATTCTTGGAAAGTTTCATTTTCTAGGTTTCATGCATTTAAAATTTGGAAGCAGTCAAAACTTGGTCTATTCTGATAGAAGTCATATCTAGCTATAAAAAGTTCCTCTTTGTTTTTCACACAACCTTTCAAATTCATGAGAGATCATCTTAAATTATTACAAATCTATTCCTTACTCTTTTGCCCCAAAACACAGAAATTATAGGCCTTCCAATTAAAGTAAGAAATAATTAAACAGACATACATGGCAAGTGCTTAATAAGTGCACAATATATATTTCACTAAATAGATTAATTGAATCTAGCATCTTAAAGAATGTGAAGAAAAAGCATTTACCCCAATGGGAAATGGAGCTTCATTCTCCAGCAATGAGGTTTTTGATCTGGACCCCGAAGTTACCTTTGGAGCAGTTCCTACTGCAGGATTACTGGGAAGAGGTTGTAATCGAATTGGAGGCTGCATATTTCCTGGGGCAGTGCATGGTCGAGGGGCTGTCTAGACAATTAGGGAAAAAAATTCCATTTAAATTAGTATCTTGACATGTTTCCGGGACCAATTAATAGCTCAACAAATTGCCTAGACTAATTAATGGTGCCTCTTTACTGAACAGATTAACCTTTAATTATGTCCTTCCATTATACATACTCTTATGACCCACCGTATTTGTTAAAACACATGGTGTGGAAGTCCTCTACATACCTAACTGCCGCAATTGTAGAGTATTTTGGATAAAGGAGATGTTCTCTGTTAGGTTCCTGTATTTTATTCACACTGTGAACTCGCTTACAATACCTAACTGATGCTGTACATTGAATGGCTTTGTTCAATTAAATGTTAAGTTGAATAATGTTCCTAATTTAGACATCTAAGGGCCTATGATTAAAATGAACTCATTCCTGTTTAAATGTTTTCAACATCAACTCTAGTACGAGTCCTTTAGGTCTTAAGATTGGTGCTGAAGTAAAAGCAGACAATACGATTCAAAAAGAGGGAAAACAAATACTTACTTCTAATGCATTACCATTTATTCAACCTCTTCCTTGAAATACCAGGAAAACAAAACTGAAAAATTGTAACTGGCAACTTTGGAAAACACTGTCAAAATGGAGATGTTTTCCAGGCTGGATAGTTTCCATTTGCCCCTCTTCTTTGTCTCCTCTGTTCTGCTCTGGCTGCTGGGAGTTATTTCTTTATGGACTACATCAACTAACCTCAGGATTCCAGTTGGATTTGGCCAATGAAAGACACTGGCAGGAGATCAAAAGACAGGAGAGAAGGAGACTGGGGTCTTAACGCTCCTGGACCCTTCCCAACCAAGGTTATGATGGGCCAGCTGGGTCCCTCCAACAAAGTCCACAGCTCCTATCAGGAAGTCCTCTCCCAGAAGCTGCCAGCTGATTCTGGTATCCAAGTCCTCTCTTTCCCCCTAAGCCTATGTGGTGTGGTTTCCCATTGTATTCACCCCAGCATGCTTTACATCCCCAGCTGGTTTTCCTTAACCCCACCTGCATCTTTCTAAATAGTTTCTTTATTAAACCCTTCCTAATTACCCTATTTGTGTGAGCCATCTGTTTCCTGCTGAGACCCTGACTGATGCATTTTCTAATCAAGAATGTACTACAGAGAAAACCAAAAGTGCCAGTTCAGAGCATTAGATGTGTCTTTTGGAGCACTGACAGAACATTGCAATAAAGATCAGCAATGTTTCAAAAATGGAAAAAACAAGATGTTTGGCCCAGTTGTTCTATTACAGTAAAATAGTAGAAAACCTGTTAAGAATAATACATGCAAATTTGGGTAAGAGGGTATGAGAACAACAGTATATAAATGATTAATGAATAAGATTTATTACATTGACTCACGGTGTAATGGTGACAACAAATATTCAACTCTGGAAAAGTGTTGTATAAATACATAAAAAATGGTGATAGGACAACTCCCACCAACCAAAAGTTGGTCTTAGCGCCATCTTGACAAGCATGTTATATGTTGCCAAAACTCTGATTTTGTTAAGTTAACACTTATTGAATTCCAACTCTAGTCACTGTGAGATGAAAAAGTAATTTTTAACATCTAATGGCAACACGAGACAATTAGTGTCAAATGAACCACACAAATACTGCCAAAGAGACAATAACAACAAAATACCTGAAAACTAATAGAACTTAGAACTAAAAGTTATTTGGAATAAGCCAATGAGACTAGTAAAAATTAAAGTTTCACAAAAGTAATTACATTTTATCCAAATGAATGAGCAAAAGAAGAAAATGATAAGGAGAAAAGAGGAATGGTAAATTTGAACATCCAAGTAAGAAGAGCCAGTTGTGAGCCAGACATGGGAAGGAGAGCAAAGAGACTATTCCCCAATATCTGTTTTCCTTTCTTCATGTAATAGAATATTTATTAGGGAACATGCCTATCACAAATAAAGACTGTATTTCCCACGTCTCTTGAAACTCCATATAGATGTATGCCTCAGTTTGGGCCAGTAAGATGTGAGCAGAAGTGCTACATGAAACTTCCAGATCATGCCCTTAGAAAGAAGAAATGTGTCTTCACTTTCCCCTTATCCCCTTCTCTCTGGCTGAAAGAGCCACACAGTGATGTATATACCATCTTGGTATACGTGGATGAAGGCAACACACTAAATTTGTCAGATCAATGACAGAAAAGGAGTCTGAGCTTTTGACGCCTCATAGAGTAGAGATGGTGCAGGAGCTGAGACTCATGCGTGTGTGTTGAGGCGGGGAGCGCATCCTTACGTTAAAGTCGTTATTTTGGTCTCTGCATACAAACCTAGACAAGAAGCCAAGTGGACTGACTAAAGCAGCGTTTGGTTTAAAGAAAAAAGACATAAGCCTCTATGAGCCAAAAGGTGAAAGGTCTTAAAACCCACAAAGAGAAATCAGACTAGAAGTTTTCTGAACAAAGGAATCAAATCATGCAAAAGAATTAATTTGATCTCTGTAAAACAAATATGCCTTAAAACCCACTCCTGTCAAAAAATCCAACTGAACACAAAAACATTGAATGTAGGACTTGGAAAGCAGGTTACTCTAAACTAGAACATGATCTATTGGCTGCTGTGCGCTAGATGTTACTTCCCCACATTTGCATTCAGTTAGATGAATGCGGCAGTCAAATGTTTAACCGATTACATGTATCTCTAAAAACAAATCTACGCCGTTCAACTAACAGCTGTGAACTACAAACTGTTGTAGTTCACATCAGGAGCCACCTTAAATTTGCTATATTTTAAACTGTCCGTAATATATTTTCTTGGAATATATATGGCACTGTAGCTTAACATTTTCAAAACTGTACCTGAATGTGAATTGAAATTGACTACCTGGTGATTACTCAGCTTAGCTGAGCATTTCTAATTCTTAGAAGATCTCTGGGGGTGAATTTTCCAAGCATGTACAAAATTAGTTGAATGACTTCCACAGTTTTAATGGCATGGTGCAGCTAAAAGCCTACATGCTATTTTGAAAGTTTAGGTGCAATTGGTGACCAAGTGAAGTTAACTATTCACCGTATGCTCTCCTTATTCACTCAAGAAAATTTAAAGAGAAAAATGGATGGCAATATCCCAAAAGGATTATTATCTTTATTCCAATGGCACCTGGAGGTCAGGAATCCAATTCGGAGGATATGTAACCAAGTTAGGAAAACAAAAAAGAAGGACTTGAATTTCTGTAACATGGGAACTGCAATTCCAAGATCACAATAGGTATCCCCGATGAGGCAGCAGCACCGCAGGGGGTGATCAAGTGAAGAATCCTGGCTTACCAGATAGAAAGGCTGCTAAAGTGCTGGTGTCAGTGGTTCCTGTAATTTTTAAATTACTTTCTCACTCCTGCCACATTAACATCTCCTGGATGTATCATAAACTACTTATTGAGGCTGTTCAGCTAGAAAATTGAAAAGAAAGACTTTCAAGGGTTTTTCCTCCCTGAAACAGGTAGGAAGATAGAAAATAGCCCTTGTTTCTTTTGTTTCACCCAGGATAAGCTTTTGAGAGTCTAGTGAATTTGCCACCCAATAAAAGAATTATTTGTGTACATATACATTTAAATGAAGCCTGGAAATATGATAACAACAAAGGGAAGATGGTTGCTTTTCATAACTTGAGCTGTTCATCGAGAAATGTCAAAACATATTTACCTTTTGAAAATGTCAAAGCTTAACACTATATGTGATGAACCTACTTCAATAATCTGTGAAAGCGTTGCAATTCCTCTACAAATATTGTGCAATCCAAAAAAACGTTCATGCTAACAAGGAAATACATTAGGCCACACAAAGCCAGAATAAAGAATGTCATCAAATCAATTCATTTAAAGCTGAAACCATCAACCACCAGCAAATATTTTGCAAGTCTTTTCCTGTATCTATATTGTTTCAAGCTACCTTATGTTCCTTCAAGTAAATACCACTCCTAGGTTATAAATGAATCGAAGTGGAATGAAATGTCAGTGTGCGATTTCTTTAAACAGAATTTCTGTACATTTAATTATTTTTATCTTAGACTGTGTGCATATACTTTTGATAAAAGAAGCTCAGATGTAAGTATCTGGCCCGACACGTTGTGCAGTACCATTGAATTTGTATGCATAAAGAAGCTTTAAGATAAGGTAAGAGTAGAGGAAACAGCAAGAGAAAAATCCAGAGGTCAGAAAATATAGAACATGCATGGAACAACCAATGGTTCAATTGTGCTGCATTGTAGGGTGCTAAAGGGTAATCGTGGGGAAAAAGTACTAGGATAGCCAAACTGATGTCATGTGGCTTGGGGTCTTAAATGTCAGGTGCAAGAGTCTGGGCTTTTCTATAGGTGACACAGGGCCAGTGAAGGTATTTGGGCATGTAAGTAACATAAGTAATCCACACTTTAAGAAAACTAATCCAGCAGTAACAAAATGGATTTAACAGGGGTGATATTGAATGAAGGCGGGACAACCAGTAAAGACAGAGTTGAATGGATACAAGATTATGTTTTCACTCAGTAGGATTCCCAAGATGATATAACCATGTACCCAGAGAGCGTTCTTTCTGAGAGTAATACAAAATCATGAATTAATTAGTTGGCATGGTGCAGGTCAGAGTGTTATTACCGTGACTCACCAGTGTTACCGGACTGGAATGTCCTTCATCAACCAGAACACTATGGCCATGATTAGTCTTGGGGCCAACTGGGGGGCGGGGAGGCAGGATTGGCATGTTATTTCCTATAGTCCATCCTGTGTGCTCTCCCTAGAATAAGAAAGTGATTTAACAAACCGATGCATAATTAGTAATCTAGGTTACGTTAGTGCCTGCCAGATAAGAGGTGTTATGTGACTAGAGAAGTTCTTTCTCATTCTTTTCAAAAGTACTCCCTCTGAGGACCATCATGATAATCAGGAGATGTTTCCACAGCTGTACTGGGGACCTGGGTGTGGTAGTGAAAGGCAGGAAATTGAGTATGCTTTATCCAAAGAAATAGCTGTGCTCACAGTAACAGCTACAGATGTGGTGTATCCTTAGTTTCAGCAATAATATTTATTAATCTGCTTTAAGCAGATCATTACAAGAAGCACAATGTTCCTCACTACTCTGATCAGTAGAGACTACCAGAAAGTATTATTTTTCTGCCTTAAAAAATTATTAAATAATGCCATAAGCAAAGGGTTATATATTACATATGGGGGACCTAAAATATAGGTCTTTCGCCAAGTGTAGCTATAGGTGAAAATGTTATGGATGAAAATCGTACAGCGGAAATGAAGTGTCTATCAGGAATTTCTGCCAGTGCTAAAATGTGCCCATGTGTCTGGTTAGTATGTCTGGCAATCTGGGCGAGAGTGAATAGAACACTGTTTCAGGAACCATATTCTCCAGTAACTATTTTTTCGGTCAACATTTCAGCAGATAAATTATAGAATCTATCAGTCCTCGATATAGAACACTATTGGTAAAGTTGATTTAACCACAAATCTCTACACACCAACTTTTCTGATTTTGAAAAACTGACTTATTGTCTGTTATTTAACAACACTTTTGTAATAAGAGTATGTCTTAACTAAGATAAAATAGATTTGAGTCTATCAGGCAAGAGGGAAAATTACTGTTTCCTATGGCGAGTTATTCCACAGAAGCTTTACGAATATTCATCAGTTTGTGAAATGTGTCTTAAGCCCCACGTTTGTAATACCCTGAAAATGAAGGACAACACGTGGGTTTGAATGGCTCAAGAAATTGAGTAAAACTGCCAACCTGAACTGAAACCTTTCAAGCATGCCTAATTGAATCTCTCATCTCTTGATTTAAATTTACACATCTTCTAAGTTGACTGCAAAGATGAACTATCAAATGCAAAGTAAAAAACAACGAATTTTAAAATGCCTTCACAAAATGTCTAAATCTTAAGCTTTTGTTTGCTAAAGTAGATCTTTCCTACCATATATTTTCAAGGGTCACGTTCACATGAAAATGTACCATTGGATAATTCTTAAAATGCCCCATTTTCCATCCCATTGGGAATATCACCATCTATTTTTACCTTTTATGACAAACAAATCTTTTGGCCTCTATCACAAATCAATCAAGAAAATACAAAAGCAAAATTTCAAACTTGAGAAGAACGGTTTCAAGTTTTTCTTACAACGACTTGTGCCTTATACAGTTTCTCTTGCACACCAGCTCCTATTTTGTTATGATCTTCTGTAATAATAGTGGCCAAGATTTAAGCTTGGTGGAACGATCATTTGACCTCAGTTATGAGTTACCCCAAAATAAAGTGCCCCCAAGCCACTTCAATAATAGTACCATTGGCCTTCAAAATCATGAAATAATATTATGAAGTAAAAGAGTTATGTAGCTCCTTACCTTAAATCTCTGAATTCGCTCCTTCCTAGCTAATGTCTCCAGTTTCTTTTTAATTTCAAGCTGATGGTAACGCTAAGCACACAGGAAAGAGTGGAGGAAAGAATCATATCAATTGTAGCAAAGAAATTTTTAGAGGAAAATAATCCCACTATCTAACTGTATTCTCATGTACCCCTCTTGTCATTGAGATGGAGAAGAATCACCTGCATAAGTGTGCAAGTGGGAATACAAATTGGTACAACTCTTTGGAAAGCCAATTCCTAACATATATTAGGCAGTTAAAAGTGTTCCTACTCTGTAACCCATAAGTTTCATTTCTAAACTTAAGGAGAAGTCTGAATAATAATAAAAAAAATGTTTTATGCACAAATATGTTGTCTGAAAGGTTGTGTTTTTTTTCCTTCAAAGCAAAAATTCAGGGGCAACATAAACTTTAAAGAGAAGGGTTTCAGTTTTTGGTGCATCCATATAATGGAATAGAATATAATTATTAAAATAAGCTTCCTAAAGATTTTGGGGTTTTTTTGTTTTGTTTTTTTTTAAAGCACTTTACTGAGGTATGATTGACATACAAAAAGTTGTACATATTTAATGTGTATAACTTGATGACTTTGGAGATAAGTATATACCTGTGAAACTCTCAACTACAGTCTATGTCATAAACATATCCATCACATCTAAAGGTTTCCTCCCACCTTCTTTATTATTATTAGTTTATGATAAGAACACTTAAGATCTATCCTCTTAGCAAATTTTTAAGTGTACGACACAGTACTGTTAACTATAGGCAATAGATCTCTATAGTAGATCTCTAGGGCTTATTCATCTTGCATAACTGAAACTTTATCCCCGTTGAGTAATACCTCCTCATTTTCCTCTCCCCCAGGCCCTGGCAACCACCATTACACCCTCTACCTCTATGAGTTTGACTAGTTTACATTCTTCATATAAGTTGGACGTGGAGAAAAGGGAAACCTTGTACATTGTTGTTGGGAATGTAAATTGGTGCATCCACTGTGGAAAACGGCATGGTGGTTCCTAAAAAAATCAAAATTAGAACTACCCTATGATCCATCAGTTGCACTCCTGGGTATATATTCAAGAATTGAAATAATCAACAATCTCATTTTCATTGCAGCAGTTTTCACAATAGCCAACACATGGAAGCAAGCTAAAGGTCCACCGACGGGTGAATGGATAAAGAAGATGTGGTACATATATACAATAGGATATTATTCAGCCTTTAGATTTTGTTTAAAAAATGGAAAATACATGTAATGCTGATAAAAGTAGGATGCAGAACTGCACAGAAACACAATTTTATTGGTCAAGCTCACATTATGTGCGTATCTGTGTGCTAGGAAAGTGCTTCGCGTGCATCATCTCTTCTTGAACAATTCCAACTGCTAAGCAGTCTCATTTTACAAATGAAGAAACTGAAGCAGAGGGTCGTGAACTTGCCCCAGGTCATACACCTAGTCAGTGGTAGAACTGTAATTTGAATCTTGGTCTATCTGACACTAACTTCCCGTTTGGCTTTTTTTTTTTTTTTCATAAAAACCTCCCAGTAGTCATCTTATCGAACCATTCTGCAGCTTGAGACCCCCCTGGCTTCCAGGACACCACTCTATCAGGTTTTCCCACTGTTTGAAGGTTCTTATCTACCCCATGTTGTTCTTCCCAATTTCCTGCAACGCACACACCACGAAGCTAGAAACCTCAGAGTGGCCCTGGGTGTCTTCTTCCCCATTCCTCATCCAGGCAGTATCGGTCTCTCTCCCTGTTCCAGATCCCTGTGGGCAGCAGCATTGCCCCAGTATGTCCACTACTGCTGTTAGCCCACACCCTCTGGCAACAGCTTCCTGGCTGACCTCCCACCTCCAATCTTTTCCAGCTCATTAATCCATCTTCCACATTTTTAGCAACGTCATCTTTCTAAAACAGCTCTGCTCATTTATTTCACTCCGTGCTGAAAAATGTTTCTTCGCTTTGTCACCTACACTGCAAACCTAGCTGGGAATTGAAGGCCTCCAGAAACAGGGCCCCAACTTATTGGAGAGTGTCACTTCCTGCCAGTCTTTCAACCAACTCACAGTGTAGTCTGGCCTCAGTGAGCTTTCCTTTCCATCCACAATGTCCCCTCACACCTCTGTAACTTCACACCTGCTGTCTTCACTCTCTGGAATGCCTTGCTTATCTTTTCATGTCAAGTTTCATTGAGTCCTCCAGGTTCAGTTCAAAAAGCAGGACCTCTGTTCAGCTTCCTCTGACTCTCACAGAGGCAAGTCATCATTCCCTTCTTTTCTGAGCTCAGTCTATTTGTTCCTCTCTTCTAGCATTTGATCACTTTCTACAGCATTTTTTAAAAAATTATATCTCACAGCTACATCACATAGCCCCATACTGGTACATGGTAAGCTTGCAGTTAATGTTTATTGCATGAATGAATATGTGAATAGTAATACAACAACATTAGTAAACAGCATCAGCATAAACTAAATGTGAGACAAATGTAACAATTTAGAAATATTTTATTTTTAAATTATATTAATATATTATATATTATATAAAATTATATATTACACATTAACATTTATCTAAGCTATTTATTCCAAACTTTAAGAATACACAAAGACTCTTTAATAACAGCACATGTAACAGTTATGATGTGTCCATTACAGGAAATTTTGGAAAACGAAAGTTCAAGAATCAAGGCTAAGACAGAACTTGGTGCCTACTGATTAAGTTTGAAATTATGTATAATTAATTTTACGCTGTACTATTTTTTCAACATTAGTTGTAGGATTCCAACTAATACTTTTATAAAGAAGTGAATTTGGGAGCCATAAACAATGATTCTATGTAATTCATGCACATGACATAAATCACAAAATGAATTCCTAAATGAACAAATCATATACGTCCGAAGAGAGCACAACACTTGCTCAATTTAATAGTAGCATAATAATAAATATTTTGAGTGGCACTACACTTAGTATTGGTTTACTGATGATTCTACAGTTGGTCATAAATGTTTAGTGCACCCACAGGTCAATGGTTTTATGAGCCAAGTTTTCTGATTTACAGCTACTTGGTCAAGCCGAGAAGTGACATGCTTTTTCACAGACATTAAAACGGTATTGATGCTTGAAACTACAAGTTCCATGGAGCGAGGCTAAAATAATTTATCAAGTTAGCTAGATATCCTTCTAAAAATGCCATGTCAGGCTGAAAAAAAAGTTGTTGATACTTGGGTTGTGAATCTGTGCTGACCAATGTGGCCTAAAGTAGGAGGGACAGCAGATGTTTCAATGCCTGCTCCTTGAAATTTAGCATACGGCTGAGCTTCGGAGCCCTCAAAGAATAACAAATCCGAAATAATTCATGGCAGTGGAATTACTGATATTTAAACAGATGTCACTTTTTTTTTTAGCAAATGGAAATTGAGGTACAGATGGTGAGGGCTGGTATGTTTTAAAGTAGCCATTACGGATTAAAACTCTACATTTGTTAAATTAAATATCACAAAATATACAATGATGTCCATATTTTTCCCTAACTGAAATGAAGAAATGCTTACTTCAGTGTCTTGTCTCCTCACTACCTAGAGAGATATAGAGTATTTCTCAGGTCACCTTGTTCCATTCCTTTTTAATGAAATATAGGAAGAATTCCCCTGCTTCTGGGTACAGAAAGTATTATTAATTATCATATTAATAAATATCAGTTGTAAAGAAAATAGTTAATACTTGTACCTCCATATCAAGAACCTTATGGAAAATAGCCTGGGCTAAGCACTCCCGGATATATTTTTGGTGATCCCTCTTCATGATATTTAGCTTGTATTCCTTTTCAGAAAGTATCCTCCCATTTCTTGTGATCTGTCATGAATAAATAAAACATATATAGAAATACAAAGCAGAAAATGTATTGTTAGTTCCCTAAGAGAGAGAGATGGACCGTCAGTTGATCAGACAGAGAAGGAAGCAGCGTCTTTTAAGGCTAATGAGGTGTAGTGCTATGGCTGATAAATTTTCACTTTTAATGAATGTTTCATAAGGAAAAGAAAAGAGAAAGGCAGTCTCATATGCCCATCATTGTGAAAACACATACAGGTGGTGCACTTGACGTTTAAAACAAGGTTTTCATTAGAGTAACAATTTTCCCTTAATGGAACCCAGGTGTTCTTTTCATTTCTTTTTTTGAACACGTTGGGGAAGAAGGCGTGGGGTGCTACCCTGAAACAGTGAATAGGAGCAGTGATCACAGGACTGATGATCTCACAGGAAATACTTTGAAGGGCAAAACATGTAAGCTACAGAGGATCTCATCAATTTGTTTTTAAAATAATTGGTTTCATTACTTTGTTTTCACACTGCTTTTCTTCTTTCACTCCCTAGCCCAGAATGTAATTTAATTTGCTGTGATTCAGATTATACAGTACAGCAGATATAAAGTATTTCAGATTGGTTTCAAGTGACATCACTGCAAGTCCCAGGAGTGATAGTTTCTGAATTTTATTTACTTGTTTTTCTTTTATTCCTTCCTATGGGCATATTTGTTCTATTTTTCTACATCTTACCTAAACTGAGGATGTTATCCTTCCTGGAATGTTCATCTTCCTTTTCACTTATTTAAACCCTGCTCTTCTTTCCATACCTAATTCAAGTCCACATATTTCTTAATTTTGATAACTAGTTTTTTAGCACTGTTGTTGCAACCTATTGGAGTATCGAGATCAGCTAGAGTTGTGCTACGAGAGATTGATTATTGATCATCTTTTTTATGAATGCATTTTCTAAAGGAAGAAAGCAGTGTGGTTATAGAAAGTGTGCTTGGAATTACGAATAACTCAGTTATAGTCTTTGAAATGTGTTGTCCATGGGATATCATGTCATGACTATCCAACCAGGAAAAACTGTTGAGAACTTCCTGCACTGCCCCTCCCTTAGCAAGTAACTTGTCATTGATATTTCTCCTCTGGGAGTATCTAATCTCCCCAACTAGACTGGAAGCTCCTATAGGGCAGAAGTTCTTAAACTTGAGCCAGCATCTGAAGAATCACCTGGAAGACAAGTGGAAAAAGACTGATGGACCCCACCCCACAGTTTCTGACTCAACAGATCTGGGCTGGGGCTCTAGAATTTGCATGTTCTAACAAGTTCCCAGGCGATGCTGAACAATCCTGATTCAGAGACTGTATCTGAACTGCTCTAGAGAAAGGGCTGCGTCCTTCCTGTTTGAGTTGCCATGCACATAATCAGTGTTCAATAAGTGCTTGTTAATGACGTTGATAAGTAAATACAAAGTCCTTCCCATTTATATATGAAGCTCACAGACTTTTATCTGAAGAAGTAGTGTTAATGCTACCCACAACAATTACAACAACCATTTATTACACATCTCTAATTGCTACAACAATCTTGAGAGCGGGGTATCATTATCTTTATTATCGTCCTTCAACTGAAGAAGTTGGAGCTGAGAAAGTTAAGTGTTTTCCTGAACATTCTGTCTTGTAAATGGCAGAGCCAGGTTTCAGCCAGGTGTATCTGATAACAAAGCCCCAGGAGACAAAAAGCAGGCTCTCTGAGAACTACCCAGACAGAGTGCCAAGCACATAAACAACAATTAGAAATGCAATGCATATCCTTTCAACACCATGGCAACAATAGTTAAGGAAACCCACAGTGTTTTAAGAAAGTAAACAGCTAAAATTGTTAGTCACACTTTCTATAACCACACCCCTTACTTTGAATGGAAAACTACAGTGTTTTTTAAAGGTTTTACATTATAGACATTTAGAGAACTGGAAATTTTCTGGAAATGATGGTTTTGAAGCTAACGAAAGACACTAATGTATCAATAAACCATCACATGAAATGAAAGAGTTTTTAAAAATTTAAAGGAAAATTTTGAACTGTTCATGTCTTCCACACCACATCCTGTGATTATTAAAAACAATATTTTTTTTCTGAAGACAGTAAAGTCTTTTCTATCCTTACTCCCTAACAGTTCCTGGTTTATACAATATGTTCAATAAATATGGGTTGAATAAATGAGTGGGTAAATAAACAAATGACATATGCTCTTGAAAACTCATAGGGATTTTCCTCAATAATTTATAAGTTGCCTTAGCAGCCATCATGACCTCTCTTCCTATCTTTTGAAACACAGCCTCAAATAGATAAATCAGAGCTTTGGAAAGGAAGTAATTTTTCTGAAATGAGGGAAGGGAAAAGATGTCACCGATAAGCTCAAAGAGGAAACCAGAAAAGATAGGGAATTATTGGATTTAATGAAACAAGAGGGCAGGTAGGAATGAGACCAAATCTTACCAGCCCTGATCTCAAGAGATGCCGCCTTATCCTTGTATTGTTAAAATATCCAGCCAGGTGTTTATCCGTAAGACTATTATATGCTGCAAGTAATCTGGAACAGAAAAATGAAGCCATTAAGGTTTTATGAGGTGTTGCTTGATAACCAAGGCAATTCTTGACTCTCATCCCCAAACTGTGCATAATCGTTCATTCATCCAGCCAGCCAGTCATTTACGTATGTGTTTAAAAAACAAGTATTGAAATAAAGATGTTTAAAAAAAAAAAAAAAAAGTATTGAGCACCTACTGTTTTCTAGGTTTGATGATAAGGACTGAGAGACAGCCCTGATGCTGTTTTATCCCACAGACAAGTATGGAAATCAGACATGAACAATTAAGTTGGTTACGAAAAATCCAATAATAGAAACATGCAAAAAATCGTGGGGACACAGAGAAGGAGGCCACCAACTCCAGTTGTCAAGAAAGTCTTCGTGAAGGAAGCCTGATGGAAAAGTAGGGGCTTCCTCAGAGGACCCTTCAGCCTCTGGTTACACACCCTAAATTCTAGTCACTCAAACTTCCTTGCACTCCCTAAACATATTCTGTCCTGTCTTCAGGACACGATGTACAGTCCCACTACTGGGAAGTCCTTTCCCTCAGCAGATATTAGCTAATGGAGAACACCTGTGATGCACAAGCATCTCTTCTCCCAAGAAACATCCCCTGATACAAACTGGGTGTGCTGTGTTACCCTCCCCTCTATTCCTCTAAGACCTTGAGTTCCATTACACATCCACGATATGTTACTGCTTATTTCTTAGTCTACTCCTGTTGGTTTGCAAACTGGCACACACACACAGAGGGCAAGGGAAGAGTGAAAAAAAAAGGCAGCCACTCCAGATTGGTAAGTGGCAGGATTAATAAGCAAAGGAACTTCCTTAAGAGGCTTGTCTTGGGCAGCTGCAAGATGAGTTGCTCTCCACACCTGCCCATCAGAATCTTAAAAGTTTATATAGAGGCCTTAACTGGGTTCAATCGTGTACAAGGTCTCGATGACCTCCACAACATATTGCTCTCTTAAGTCTGCACCCTTGAAAATGGTCCCCACTGTGGGAATGGCGGGCAGAACATATGCATTCCAAGGACAGGGGAGAGGGTAAGGAGCCTCTGATTGCCCAGGTCCGGCTTGAGGCGGTCACATCCTTTCAATGACCTCCTCCAATACCTCTGCTAGATTTGAAGGTCAGGATGGCGCATTATTCTCCGCATCCTTACTTATTTCTTATGTACCTGAATAACGATGTGTTCAACACATGAAGATACAATTTTGTTTGGGACTCATTCTTACTGGTATAAATTTCAAACTAAGCTTCAGCTCAGCGTTTAGAAGTGTTAACTTCCACATATATATACAGACAGTTTCATTAATTCCGCATCCAGAACCAAAAAAAAATGTTCATAGATTACTGCTGATTTTTACGGTCTTTCATTTAAAAGAGAACAAATTGGTTCCTTGGTTACATGGTCAATATAAGTCTATAAAACAAAGTTTGAAACTACTTTTTCTAAGTTTTAAACTATCCCTCATTAATTATTATCTTACGAAAGCAGGCACACATATACATATACATGTATGTATACATGTATGCATGCATGTGCCTCCATATGTGTGTGTGTATATATATATAAATATATATATACACACACATACACATATAAATGTGAGTGTGTGTCTGTAGAGAGAAACAAAGAGACAGAGGGACAGAAAGAAAACACGCAAGCCTAAACATGGTCCTAACATAAAGTTGTCCTAAAACAAATGCACACCTTATTACCCGCCACAAAGATTTATAATCTGTACATTTCATGAGCAGCTGATCCCTAACTTATTCTGAAACAAGAACAGGGACTCATAGAATCGAGTAAATATCATTAGCAACAATTTTATTTAGCTATTTGCACTGCCTTAATTACATGGAGATGGTATTGGTGACCTTTTCCTGTCTTTTCTCCTTAATGCCCGTCTCAGGAAAGTTCCATGCTGTCAAATGGTAAGGAAAGTTTAATTTTGTCCACAAAAGAGACTGAAAAGCAGTTACAAAGCCCAGAAGCCAAGGTGCCACATGAGAGTTGCAGACCCATGAACAGCTGCAGAAACCATTATTTCACTGGGTTTACGTAAAAAGACAACCTGAGAGCTTCAGTAATGCACATACAAAACCAGCCCCGGATAATGCTTTGAAACCATCTTTTAAATGAACCATCTTGGTGTCCTATAGTTCATCAAAGGTTTCCTGTCTCCAAAAGGTCAACGTTGTATCCCTTACCCTTTCTGAATCTCAGAATACCTTTTCAGCAACTCGTTTCAGAAAGGTGAGCAGGTGTCTCTCAGTCCTAACAATCATGATTCCACAGTTCACAGATTCTTAAGATAAATCATTAGACTGATATCATATATAGTCTTTTGTCTGTTTTTCAGGCTCACATTTTAAAAAATCAATAGTTTCGGAATAGCTATGAGTGCTAAAACCCTGATTAAATGTAGTAGGGTCAAAATGTTAAGATAACATGGACCTCCACTTCCCTGTTGACTGTAAAATATCCCATTCTTTTAATTCAGACTTTGAAACACTTCTAATATTTAGGTCTTAATAACAAAGCTTAGCCAGCTTTGGCACTACCTCATTCTAATTCTGCTCTCTCAGGCTCCTATTGAATGAGTCTGTGTGTGTGATGCCCCTCCAGTCTTACTGACAAGTGGAATAGATCCAGGAGAGTTGAAATCTTTGCACACAATGATTTTCTCACCTCTTCCTGTTTAGGAAAGAATGAAGGTCCCTGGTTGGGGGACCATTTTTAAAGCATCTTTTTCCATGACTATGAATAATAACCAGCTGGGTCTCCCCAGGCTCAGCCATTTCTTTTTCAGAAAATGCCTTAATTTTTTTAACTGAAACTTTAGATAAATGAATTGTTTGCTAACAAGAAACTGTACTAAATTATATACAGGTTTAGTAAAATGGTTATTATGGACTGAATATATGTTTCCCCCCAAAATTCATAGGTTGAAACCCTATCCCCCCATGTGATGGTATTAGGAGATGGGGCCTTCAGGAGGTGACTAGGTCATGAGGCTAGAGCCCTCATGAATGGGATCAGCACCCTATAAAAGAGACTCCAGAAAGTTCCCATGTCCCTTCCACCATGTGAGGACACAGGAAGAAAATGGCCATCTGTGAACCAGGAAGCGAGTTCTCACCAGACACTGAATCTGCTGGTGCCTTGATCTTGAACTTACCAGCCTCCGGACCTGTACGAAATAAATTTCTGTGGTTTAAGCCACCCAGTTTATGGCATTCTGTATAGCAGCCTGAACAAACTGAGACAGCAGCTAATGCAAACATTTCCACAGTCTACATATAAATGTCAACCTCATTCTGACCATCAAGCTTCCTGCACAGGGAGAGAGTAATAATCCTGTGGCTCAGTCACAACCATGATCTGTCACAACCTTCCCACTCTGCTCCTCTTCAAGGGTGCTTGGTATGGGTTTGCAGCCTCCCTTTGCATGTACTCAATTACAAGAGCTTTACTGACCCAGCCACTTTGATTTAGTAGAGCTCTTCTCATCTTTCTGCCTTTCCTCTCCACTCACTGCTACTGTTTCTCCTCACCATGCACATTTCTTCCTCGCACTCAGCACAACCCTGGGCCAGATGAGGTCGCCTCACCTGGGCTTTGGGTTGTGTTGCACCTTGAGTATTCTACTCCCCTTGTAAGTTACTGCCTGCATCTGTTGCCAAAGCTGGACTTCGTGGTCATGCTGCCTCAGTCCTGTGATCCTCTCCTGTTCCAATCCACAATATCAACAACCACATTGGTCACAGCGACCACCCGGCCACTGTGACCACATCACTCAAAAGCCATGCTGTTCACACAAAGGCCCATAACTAACTGGCCAGACCAGCCCGACTCGCTGGCTTCTTTATATGATGGACAAGGCTATTTACCAACCCCTGTTCACTGGGTAGAGAAAGACCTCCTTTCCGGTTCAACGCGCTGGAAAACACTGTCCCCCAGGAAACAAAGCAACCTTATCTCTATGATGGTTACCATTTCCCCCACTTCAATCCACACCTCCCAGTCCCTGCAGTGCCTGAGTATTAAGGAGCAGCTGCTGAGTCACTGGGAGAGCCGCCTTCCCAGCTATAGCCTTTCAACGCTTGACCCCTGAGCCCCTGCCGCCCACCATGTAGACGACATAATTGGGGCTCTGAACTAATAAGGTCAATTCCTATCGAGCCCTCCATTTGCCCCCAAAGAGAGAAAGAGTATTCCATAGAAACCCAGACTAACAGGAAAGGCACTATCATATTAATCAGAAAACATTTATTGTGTACTATTCTCAAGGCATTCTGTACAGCACCAGGGATCCAGAGATGGCACAGACACTACATTGACAGTACTTCCAATTCAGTGGGGAGGCATGCATGCACATACAGTGTGTATGTGTGTGTGTGTGTGTGTGTGTGTGTGTGTGTGTACTTGATTTCTTCCTGTGTCACAGGTTAATTCTTTCACAAATAGTTACTGAGTGTCCCCATGTCAGACACCGCGCCTTCAGCTGGGGAAGGAGTATAGTATCTCTATCCCATTCTGCAGATTACAAAGCTCTTCCACATACATAGTCTCATTCGTTTGTTTTCAGGCCTCTGGAATGTGAGTAATATCTAACAGTCACAGCTCTTCCATCTTCCTAAGATGGAAAAGCTCCAAAACAAGATTATTGCTCAACATGAGTGAGTCCAAGAAAAACATGCTGAGGGTAAGGTTTCCTGGACCATACTGATAGAAGAATTTCTTGAACCCCAACCTTCTCTCCCAGCATGCTGGGCCCCACACTGTCTACTTCTGTGGAGGGAGAGGGATGTAGTGGTCAAGACTCCAGCTCCAGTCCAATCCTGGCTCCACCATTACTGGCTCCATAACCGGGAGCATGTGACTTAACCTCCCTGTCTATGCCTCGATTGTTCTGCCTTCCACAAGACACTTGAACACTCACACAATTCAGCCAAGTTCTTTGCCACTTTACAACAAGGATCACCTTTCCTCC